TGTGAGCGACTGTCATCTTCTCAAGATGAACTCTCTTCCATGAAGTTAATCGCCACATCGTGCTAATTCAGAAGCGCGTAGAGCTGCAGGTCTGAAACACGTGCACCCATTGGCTCAAGAGAGAATTTCGGGTGGCAGCGGAATTTATGACGTTACAGAGAATGCTGCTCGAAGAAAAAAGTTTAGGGGTGTGACTATAGACGGGGTATGGATTGGATATTGGGTTTATTCACCACTTGTATGCACGACTCGGAAATACAAATAATTAGACCGCTATCGCTGATCTCTGGCTAAACTATTCCGGCTTTCAGGCGTCATGTCACAATATTATCGAGAAGGCGTATGGAAGGCCTCGAAATAAAACTCCAGGCTCCTGGCAGTCTGCTTCTCGCCATAAGCGAGAGGTGCTTACCTCTGGGTAAGCAGAATTCGGTCAGTGATGGTGGGGGGAGCTTTTTTCCTGTAGTCGTTCAGGACATCAGGACTTAAGGATGAGAAGACAGTCCAAATACCTACTCCTGGTATCGAAGCCTGACATCCCAATTCATACCCTTTCACCTCAGTCACTAAGCTGTAACGACTTTGTAATCAGAAATCCAAACTGGCCTCAGGGTAGTTCCCGCCACGTTCATACCTCTTCATGTAGCATCAGAGACACAATTGGCCAGCAGGTACGTAACTTGGGCCCCGAATGGGGCACCACTTGCTCAGCCCGAAATTTAGCGCAGTTAATCTCAGTCTTCTAGGTGTGTGCCTGACTAAGCACTTCCAAATTATTCCCGTTTGGCATACCTAAACCTCCTCTTAAATACATTCTGTCCTGACTAACTTGCGCAGAGGCCGCACTTCGAACCCGGGTCACGTCATGTGGGAATTGTGGTGGACAAAGTGGCACTGGGGTAGGTTTTCTCCGAGTACTTCGGTTTCCCCTGCCAATTATCATTCAACCGACTGCTCCACGCTCATCATCTATCGTCCGGGCCGGGTACAATAGGCCAGTTAGTGGCCGATGTACCAAGTGGACTCAGTTTCACCCCACCCCTGGAAATTAAAGAAAAACCAACGAACAGATCATAATCACCAGTAGTCTGTGTACTATGTGCATTCCCTCTTTCGGGAAACAGAGGTGAAGACAAGGGCCAATCGTCACGCGGAGTCATAACGTCGCGTTAATTGGTCGCGAGCTGAAATAGGCACTGCTACTTATCCCGCTCTTTGTGTTCAGCGCGCAGTCGCGGAGAGCTCTCAAGTCTTGAGCACTGGGCGCTCTGTTTGCTGAAGCAACAGCAATTTAGAAGTTGTGCCTCATTAGCATTTTGTTGAGAAGCCAAATCCTTGGCGAGGGAGGGAGACGTGAACTGATTCAAGGTGGAAGAGGTGAAGCACTGGATACAAACAGACATAACCTAGAAAGCAAGAGGGAGAAGAATGGGCTTATTTAACAAACCCGCCCCCCATCTCGTGTGTCGTAACCTCAGGGGAGCTCATTAACAAGCCCACAGTTCGATGTTCTGTTTCCTAATTGGGAGAACCAGGCGGCTAATACGTTGCAAAGGGAGGGCACTACATCTAACTACATAACCTATCTATTAGGGCTCTTTTAAATAAAGAAAGAAAAAATCCCCACGTAACGTATTTTATGTTAGCATTCAGTAGCAGACAGACTTTCCGGTATCGCTTCGTTCGCTACATTGTCAGCCTGCTCTCAGTGGCGGTTTCGTCATTCCCAATAATCGAGTGATCGACAAAAATTAGGCCTAGCAACTGCAAAAATAATAAACATATACATGCATTTAATTATTATCGCTTTCACATTAAGCATTATAATATGTACTGTATCCTTGTAAATGCATGTGTTTTGCTTTTCACCTCTAAACTAGTACCTGATTTGTTGCTATTATTATTATTATTATTATTATTATTATTATTATTATTATTATTATTATTATTATTATTATTATTATTATTTTAGTGGTCAGAGTTCCTGGCTACAGATCCAGAGGTCCGGGTTCGATTCCTAGCGCTACCAGATTTTTCCTGAGAAGTAGTGGGTCTGGAACGGGGTCCACTCAGCCTCGTCATGATAATTGAGGAGCTATTTCAAAGAAATGGCGGCTTCGGTCTAGAAAACCGAAATTAACGGCCGTGGAGATTCGTTGCGCTGACCACGCGACACCCTCTATCCGCAAAAGTTGGCACTAACTTCGCCGACAAGCGGCGGTCGTTCGGTCGGTATAGTTCGCTTGCGGACTAAAATCTCGGAGTTTGTTTTATTATTATTATTCAGCAAATCTCGGTTGGGTCTTCCTGTTAGTTCAATTCGCAACAAATCATAAACTAGTGGATATTTGAGAGACTTCGTAGGAAACCTCGGGCGATCTGGGTTCGATTCCCGGCAGGGGCAAGATATTTTTCTCCATTCCACAGCGTCCAGACCGGCTCTAGGGCCCACCCTGCCTCCTATATTACAGGAAAAGTTGGCTCTTTCCCATGGGGGCAAAGTGACCGGGGCGTGGAGCTGACAACTCACCTCTGTGCAGTACTGAGGTTAAGAACTATGGAGATATACCTGAACTCAGCAACACGTCTTTATGACGAGATGATTAGCAACTTTACTTCACCTATCAGCATCATATCATTAGCTTAGTATTCATTTCAACCAGTTCCCTTGTAAGACAGAACCCACCTGAAAACCAAATATTGTAATGAACTATATTTGTTAACTTCTGTGTGGTGTTCTCACATGACCCATTTTGGTCAAAACAAGTATTGGAGTGAGAAAATAAAATTTATATTGTGAATAACGTTGATTATTTGTGATTTCACAAACAAGATGGAACATTACAAAATAAATTTGATGTCTACCCAAGCATTCAGACGAGAGTGGAATTGGCCTTCATCGTAGAAACAGCGTGCTGCAGTAAATGCGCGATGAAAAATTGGGGGGGGCGTGCTTGGTTGGGATACATTCATAGAATCTCTGCTGACGATTTTAGCAATTTCAAGTCACTTACTAAAACGTGAGATGTACGGCCTGAAGTTTCCAGCCCTTGACATTCACAACACAGATATTCTGCACAATACCTGGTTCCACAGTCACACTAATGGCTTCTTGTTTTGAAGCTAAAATAAAACTCTTTGGAAATTAACATTTTGTTCTCTTCTGTCATCACCATTACTGATTTACCGGTACGTCGTAGCCTAAACAGAAGTGAATCGTTGTTGCCATTTTGTCTTTCACATGGTGAATTACCCTTGTACTCTTTGCCAAGTGTAATTAGAATGACCCAGTTAAGGAGGAGGAGATTGACAGGGCATGTAGCACGAATGGGGGCGAAGAGGATTGCATATAAGATTTTGGTGGTAAAGCCAGAAGGAAATAGACAACTAGGAAGACTGAGACGTAGGTGGGTAGGTAATATTAAAATGGATCTTAGAAAGATAGTTTGGTGTGGTATGGACTGGACTGATCTGGCTCAGCATAGGGGCCAGTGGAGGCCTCTTGTGAACATTGTACTGAACCTTCTGGTTGCATACAATGTTGGGAAGTTCTTGAGTAGTTGCACAACTGGCAGCTTCTCAAGAAGGCTCAACTCCATGTAGTTAGTTAGGTAGCTAATGGTGAATTACCATGGGCTTTGGCAGGGAGAAGCGCTAGGTTTCTCTACCAACCCTGACTTACTCTGTCCTAGTTTTCAGTTTTTGAATACTGTTTTGTAAGCAGCAGTGCCACATTTCTATTTATCTTACATGCAAGCCTCTCTGAAGGACTGAAAATTACACTAGTGTGCAGGCTTACAACTTCACAGTGGCTCGTATATGTAACTCAAGATGTACTCCAGTTGACTGGATTCATAATATTCTGTGGTTCTAAAACCTCAGCAGTTCAACACCTTCATTTGTAAATCCCTCCAACAGATTTAATGCATGGCAAAGTTCACACCATAAGAACCAATTTCCTTATCATCGCTTTTAATATTATCATCCCACCTGCATCTTATCTGCACAGTTCATGGCTTTCCTTGCTTGCGTACCAAATGGCTACGTGTGCTGTGTACCGGTGCAACTATGTGGTTTGGGCATGGACAAAGCTAGCGAGACACCTACCGGAGTAGTAGTCCCATATATGCTATATGCTTACTTGAAGAGTATGAGACAGAATTTCAAGTCATTGTTTAGTTTTCTTACTTCTCACTTACTAGCCCAGGTGCTATAGTGTCTAGGCTATGGGCTGAACGACTGAGGAATCAAGCTTCAATTCTCGGCAGGGGCAAGATATTTTCTCTCCTTCATAGTGCCTAGCCCACCCGGCCTCCTATCCAGTGGATACTGGGGTTTGTTTCCCCAGAAAGAAAAGTGGCAGGGGTTAGAAGCTCAGCACTCACCTACATCTAATTCCAAAATTAAGAATGATAGGAAATTTGCCCCATTCCCCATATGTGTTTGATGCTTGGTACTTAATTAATAACTTTGCCTTACTTTAACAGTTCAGCTATCTCTTTGTGTAAAGTCAAAATATTGCTGACAAACTAATTTATCTGTATCTTATTCAAAGTAAAGAGACTGGATTTTACAATCATACAAGGTAATGGGTAGCATTATAATTTTTTGTGAATTTCAGTGTACTTCTCCTGAAAATGAGGGGGTGGAAAATGAATCTGTACTAAATGAAAATATGCCCATATATTTCAAAATAATAGTCAGGTTGTATAATTCTATTAAAAATATTAAGTTGTATTTATTAATGTTATATGAGGCATGTTCAGAAATTCTTCAGCTATCCTTAATAANATATATATACACCAATGCCCAGAACCAGATATGAACTGGGAATCACAATGTTTGATTGGTCCAGTTTTGTATGTGCCTTGGATCACACAGTGACAATAATTGGTTATTAAAACTGAAGTTTGGTGTTGTCATGTTAGTGAATTTAAAAGAGGCAGTGAACAAAAAGACAATATATTTTAAACGAAATATTATATTCATATTTATTGTAGCGATAATCTCAACTATGGAGTCGAATTTGCACGCAAGTTCGTTGATGCACCGGAGAGAGTGAAGCCTGCCCCAGAAACAAAGAACAAGAAAGCTTGGAGTGTGAGGCTGAGAATGAACCTGCATAATAATGAAGCTGGGAGACAGGTGAGTGGGTCTGTATGAATGTTGTGCCTCTTCCCCTTTTCCTAGCTTCCAGGTATTTAATAAAAAAACATTTCCGCACTTTGATACTCACCCGAGACATACAAGAGCCATTCGATTTGGGATTAGAATGGAATATTAATCTAATGTCATGGCTGAACAGAGTGGTAGGCTTTTGTTTGTTGTGCTTCTTTATGAATTTGTAGCATTCAGTGCACAAAGGTAATGTGCAAGAGGGAGGTCATGTCTGTCCTCTTCCTAAGTCACTTAATGGGCTCAGTACACTTCAGAATGGAATGCAGGGTACATTTCTTCATGAGTAATGTCGATCCACTGCAAACCTCACTTGATGACACATGGACCGATCTATATAGTTTCTGAAATGGCCTGATGTACAAATAAAATGTGCAGGTGTCCCAGTCCTTAAGATTCACACCGTGAGGAGGAGGAAAATACTCGTCCATTCTCAATCTTGGTACTAGACAGAAGTGAGTGGTCAGCTTCCTGCACAGCTGTTTTAACCACAAAAAGGAACTAATTAGTTATTGGAGAACTGAGTGAGCAGGATGCGTGTTGTGTAGAACCCTTCAGTTTCATGTGTTACTAGGAACATAGCTGATGTGATGTGAAGATAGCAGTCCTGTGTAACATCTGCACCATGCCAGTCTCTGTCTGCAGTAAATAAATGTAAGAATTCTAATTATAAATCACTCCGTCCAATGTGACCGTAAGTTTTTTACTACATAGAAACCCAACACCCCTACATGTTTCGGTCTCTGTGGACCATCTTCAGAGGGCAAACATCACTACAAATAGGAAACCACTATCACATAATTTGTTTACATGCAAAGTACGTACACTTATATGTTACAACACACAGTACACAGAATAGAACGTTTCATAAACACAATTCTGTTTACAATCACCCGAAAAATTAAGTGACTCTAGTTATAGCACTATAAACTGTGTGTGTGTATTTGTTTTTGTACACCTGTCAAACACAACAATCAATTAAAATAACTCACTTTCACTCTGTCATGTCAATTGAGTTTTTATGTGATTAAAGTGTAATGTCTGAACATGTTTTGCCTCTCATGGAATCATCATCAGTCTACAGGGTGAAAGTGAGTTATTTTAATTGATTGTTGTGTTTGACAGGTATACAAAACAAATACACACACACACACATATATATATATATATGTGTGTGTGTGTGTATTTGTATATTACATGTATATGTATTTGTATATATATATATATGTAGAATGATAAACACACAACTGGATGCATTCCTTGAAGAGAACTATATAAATTTATTTTTAAATAGTAATGTTTTTAATGGTATTGGTGTGTCAGATTGAGTATCATTAACAGGAAATGTAATTCTAGACAGGCATACACCTTTGTACCTATCAAATTTTGTAAGATCCTGAACCAAAGCCAATTGCCAATTTTGGGAAAGCTATGCAATAAGAAATACAAGAATCAGCGAGCAAGGTTATAACTACCAATCCGAGAAACTGTTATAGTGTGGTAGAATATAAATAAAATTTGACCATTAGGTGGATAAGAATATCAACCCCAGTTCCATTAGAATTTGACAAAACAAAATTTTCACAAAATCTTTGGAATATCTTGTTTAAGAAACTAATTTAATAGAAAATCACCAATGAAAAATACAAACCTAAAGAATTTAAAGAATTGTGCAAAACAAAATGATGCTAAACTTGTAACTTGCTTCTGATGGGAACCCAAACAGAAGAGATAGCCAGACTGTACTCCCCACACGAGATTTGCCAGAGTCCACGTCATTCAGCTCAGTTTACTTCATTCAGACTTCCACGATGCCCATCTGCATATGCATGCTGGGCCATTCCAGTTTCCCCATCGACCTTGCATAGGACCACATTTTGAGCTGTCTGTCTGTCTGTCTGTTTGGCATCTACCACATGCACAGAGAACAATATAGACACTTTGCCTCAATTCCAGAATATCCCTGTCCAGTCCAATTGTAGCTGGTGACAGCAAACTGTATGTTTACTTTCAGAAACAGTCCTCCTATTCAGACAGTTTCCAGTGCATCAGGGCTTAAAAGGGCCGTGCTGATTATCCTGCTCTTGTCTCCTACTGGTTCGCTGGGAACTGGCAGATCAAGTGGGAACTGACTTAGTCTCTTACATTTCTCTCCTGCTTCCTATATAATTTGAAATTTCAGCAAGCTAATTGCTCTGCTTGCCACCAGATTTCTGCTGGTTTCTTGCTTCGCTTGTTCAATCTTGAAGATGGAGGTGACGCATTTCCTTTGAAACATCGACACACTTTCAATGGACCAGAAGAAAGAACCCTCAAAGGACCTCAAATCCTGCATTTTGCACTTTGGTTGTGAACACAGTACTGGTATTAAAGGATGGATGCTGATAAACTGGAAATTGATGTGATTGTTTCTTCTGTCTCTGTTATTTAATGATGCTTTGTCAGCTCTATAGGTTATATAACACTGAGTGACAGGGTAATTATAGATGGTAAATTGGGAAGGTTGTAAATGGACCCAGTCATGGTCTCTTGAGCTGCTCTCGTGGCATTTGCTGTAGGGACTGAAAGAAACAAGGGCAAAGATGAATGAGAACAGTTTGCTTATGAACTGAGATTTGAACCCCACTCATGCTGAATAAAGACAGAAATCTTAACCACTACACCACAAGGTTGAGTAAGTTTGTGTGGTTCAGCTGGAGTACATCAGCATTAACCTGGAATGGTTGAGTGAAATATTGTAACCTCCATGTGAATGAAGATTTGAAGGAGAAATGAAACAAGATACAACAGCGCACTGCCCATGGAAGGGCTCTGATTGACGCTCTCTTTTCATAAATTTGTGTGTGAGGTAGGTTACTGGATTCACTTGTTATTTAATAATACTACATCAACTGCTAGTGTCTAATGAATGTTAGGACAATTATGAATTTAAAAACTGAAAGGATTGGGGGAGAATTATCTGTGACGACCTCCATAAATTGTGTAAAATACTTTAAGTACTTACTACAGCATAATGATGAAGTGTGTACATTATTGGTGTAAGTAAAGTAAGTAAAGGTATCCCTGTAACAGGCCCTGGAGGCCCATAGGATTGTGACATGTTGAGGTTCCAACATTTTATAGACATTCGGCCCATAAATGGCGGCAAGGTTGTCAGCCCTACACGCCAACCGCCCTTTACCCCTGATAACATTCCAAGAATATTCCTGATACTCATTTCAGTTAGAAGCTGAGTTGACCCCAGGCCATAGTGCGGCTGGAAGGATTAGGTCAATTGAAAAAGATCCAATGACCTCATCGGGACTTGAACCTGTGACCTTCTGGCGTGTAGCATAGTGCCTCCACCAACTATGCTACCGCATGCCCTCACATTATTGGTGTAGTGATAAAATGTAAAGCAGTGTACAAATACGACTATGACAGGATGGTCTAGGAGTGCAGCAAGTTTATCAGTGATTTAAACAACAAATCCTTCTTGTTAAGGAGGAGGTCCCTCCTCCCATGAAGGCGGACAAATATCTGTGACGGTGTACCAAAATATGGACATGGGGCCTAATCAGGCTCAGACCAAGAATGACTCTTATGGCTGGAAAGCCAGCAGCTTGCTCTGCTGGCTGCCTGGTTTCTGCTACTTCCTTACTCGGCTTACTCTTAAACACTAAAATGTCAGGGAACTCCTGCCAGAGTACGTGATGCTATATCCCAGACAATGAATTTATGGTTAGAAGGTTTAAAATTGAGGTCTTGCATAAAAATATTTGTTAAAGGTAAACCTATCCATGTAACAAGCCATGGAGGCCCATGGGTTGTGAGATGTTGAGGCTCCCACATTTTATAGACAGTCGGCTCACAGATGGTGGTGACGTCAGACCTATGTGCAAGCTGCCCGTTAACCCCAGAAAGATTCCTGGTACTCATTTCTGTTAGGCGCCGAGTTGATCCCAGAAATGTAGTGTGGCTTGAAGGATTAGGTCAAATGGTAAATCCAGTGACCTCATTGGAAATTGAATCCGCGACCTTCCAGCTTGTAGCACAGAAGCTCAACCAGCTATGCAACTGTGTGTCTCCAATAATATTCATTATTCTGCAATATGTTTCAGGTAGTCTCATCACTGATGAGAATGCAATGCCGATGCCATGGTATATCAGGCTCATGTGAAGTGAAGACATGCTGGAGGACAATGCCGTCATTCAATGAAGTCGGCGACACTTTGAAACGTAAATATCAACAAGCTGTACAGGTAGGCCATCCTGCATATTGATCGAGCCCTTCACACATTTTTAGCAGTGATTATATTAACAAGTAAATCTACCTACTCTTTCCTTTCTTTAGGCTTCCTGACCAATTCATTCATGTTTCTCACCTGCAAGCAGGTAGCCCCCAAACTGCGCAAACGCCTTCGTCGAAAGAGCAAGAGCAAGAGCAAGAGCAAAACCAAACGACGCCTGCCTGTTGGGAAAGGTGACTTGGTTCATATCCATAAGTCGCCCAATTACTGTGTGAATGATCCTCAGAAGGGAATCCCGGGGACATCAGGACGCATCTGTAATAAGACGTCTCATGGGCCCGACAGCTGTGACTTACTTTGCTGTGGCCGGGGATACAACACACAGGTTGGATTATGTCTACAACCACATAACTGTCAATAAATTAACTAAATTCAAGTACTTTTACAGAGTAGCACTAGGGAACTAGAATAAAGAGAATTCTATTGACATTTGTTACAGGATCACCGAGGGTCACTGACATTTAAAGCTAAACATATTCTAACTGTTGGTAGATGATGCCATGCATAGTCTCATATATTGTGTGTAGTAACAAAGTCCTTATGAGACATGTACTCTGTTTTAATTGCCATTTCAGAAGTAACGATAAGCTTGTATTTTGTGATCATTGCTTGGTCCAAATCTGTCACAGAGAAAGATATCTGTAGTGATTTAAATCATTTCTAGGACAGGAGCCATATTATGATGCTAACCAGCTCTTAGGTGCAGTTGTCTTGAAAATAATATCCTTCGGCAGTTACACACTTTTACCAGTTTTTGTACAGTTGTTCAAAACCTTTCTGCGAGCCACCTCAAGTTAGAGCCTGCAACATGACCTTTGCAGCCACATGAATTTGCAGTGTATGATTAGGAAGATGCAGTGCCACAGTACCCTACTTGGCATGTTTTTGCGTTTGCACCAACCTGGGCATTTATCATGAAAGTGTGACCAATCTTGGTCACCTATACTTTAAGACTCATAGGTGTCTTGCCTGCAATATACAGATGATCACCTCCATGTAACTGTCTTGTTAATTATACCATTCTCAGGAATGAAATCATAGTGCTTAGTGCCCTGCCAGTCGAAAAACACATCCATCATCACTTTCCCCTGTGGGATATGCTTCCAAAAGTTTGTGGTTCTTTTGATAATTATGACCCCTGCATATAGGACTGACATTTATTTTGGGGATGGCACAGGAAACGTTATATTTCCTCATGTGTGGAGACCTTTTGTAAGAATTTGAGGTTATTATCTGCACTGATGTGTTCAGCACTAGTTCTCATGTGTAGGATTTGAGATTTTCACAGTGGTGGTTACAAAAAATTTGGTCTTCTGGGATATAATGCCATATAGTCCAGCCAAAGTCTACCATTGTTTTGGGGGAACATGTTGCCTTCATCCTAAGGGTTGAAGACTAAACCTAGAAAGAAACCAGCATGGAAGGGAAGCAGGGGAACTTACTTGCAGAAAACCTGGGGTTGTACAGAAAACAGGTGAGCACTGCAAGAAGTGTCAGCTCCCGTTGGTTCATCATGAGAAAGAGGATGAACTGGAGGAGGGGTAACTGGGAACAGCCCTGAAAAGAGCCATTTGTGCAGAATTATGGGACCACAGGGGGAGAGAAACCATGCATGGGTGGAGAACAAAAGACCATGAAGTAGAAGGCATGTGCTGAGGTTGGGAAATAATAGGAGCAAGAGCTCTGAAGGGGGCCAACACAGGAAGGAAAGGCTTAGGGTTGATGGCTACCCAGAGAGGACAGAGTTGGTGTCCTGACAAGGGCAGTATCCAGACCTAGCAGACCTACATGGCCCCTTGGAGAACCCAGCTAGAGAATCCTGTGAGGAAGGCTCCTTATGATCCTTCTGTGAGCAGCTGAGAGGTTTCCATGACTTGCTTAGACACAAGCCATTCTCCATGCACAATCCTGACAATTTCCTGATGATGGAGTCCATATGTCTGGGTTTTGTGGTGAGGGTGCTGTTGCTATGGAGTGGGATGCAGTGTTTCAAGCTGTTGCTGTGCGCTGTCATGGCTTACTGGTCCACATTATTTTCCAGCCGGATGCTCCAATGGTGCTCCTTCTGCCATGTTGAACAAATGGCCTGTCTGTCCAATATAAACATCAGTGCACTTGCAGGGGGGATTGTATACCTCTGGTGTTCTCGGTCCCAAGTCATCTTTGGTTGACTTAAAGGAACTCATTGCAGGCCAACTGACTTGATATTGTGCTGTGACAGCACCCTGTTAATGCTGTTGAATGACCTGACAAAAGTCAGGAGAGTGACTGAATCTGGCTTGTTGTTGGCCAGAGTAACGCTAATAGTATGACTAAGAGCACAGCAAATCAGCCAGTCACACTAGCCCTTCACCTGACTACACAGCATTGTATTCAAGAAGATGGTATGGTGTGTCATTGTTTCAGGAAAAGCATACTTAGTGCAATGAGGTGGCAGACAGGGTGCATACTCAGATTCTTACCAGTGATCATATGTTAGCTCTCAACCAAAATTGTGACTTTCTGTATAGTCATTTCTGTTGTCTGATACTGATAATAGCGCACACTCTCCAACATCTATCTTAGAGTGTCCCCATTCTATGATGTCACAGGCCATGTGCTGCATCATTTGTCTTCCAAAGGCTCACAATTATCTTGAAACTCTGATGTCTCTCAGGACCTTAAACTGGTAAATCATTTATTTTCTATACACTGCATAAACATTTGCAAAATGTGTATCTCTAATTTTCCTAATAGCTGACAACCTATGATGTTGGCTTGATGTTCAAGGAAAATCACTTCCCAACTTTGAGACACCTGCAGCTTGGTGATCTCATCTGATACCAGTCACAGACCCTCGGCGGATTGAAACTGAACAATTCTGCCCTGTGTTATGGGCAGTCATGTGCAAATGCCACATTCACTTTTGTCACAGAACTTTTTAAAGCTGTCACATAGTACATTAGTATGGACAAAATTACACCATACACATGAATAACACTGCTAGTAACATGACATAGATGCATTTCTTTCATATGATTTAGTTCTGGCATATTTGCTGAAAGGGTTAATATTTTTTGTAGGCTTCAAAGAAAAGTATACCTTTTGGTGCAAAGTTAATTTCTGCTGCGAAATATAGGACTAATTAATAAATTATTCTAAATAGCTGAATTGTTGAACTGTATACACAGTAAACCCTAGCTAATCCACTTAGAATTTTATGGATAAAGTATGAAAAATGAAAAATGCTGTTCATGGTTGATTACATCTTTGAAAGACACATGGAATTTATGAAGGCAGATGAGTCACTTGTATGTTCAGACAAAACTTGGGTTTCTAAAAACCTGCACTTTTATGTTCAAAACCAAGCACAACTTCTGAATCTTCTATCGATGAATACATGTATTGTCTTCGTACAGTTTTAAAAATGAAAGCTCTCAGATGATATTTTGTTATTTATTTTCATTAGCATCACTTAATATATTGCTTTTTAAGTTTTTTGTCCTTTAAGGCTACCTTTTGCATCACCAATCTGGATTATTGCTTAATCTAGATGACCTCTCCCCTCCCAATTATTCTGGATTAACAAGGGTTTACTTTACTTAAAAATTACAGAAAATTTGGTAGAAGGGAACAGTAAGAATTCTTTGAAAATTGAGCCATTTAAAACACTTGGGAGAGATGAAGGTAATGGAACATATATTTCATCCAAAACTATGCCTATTATTTAAAAGCACAAGGACTCTTTAATATTTATGTATGTGAACTAGAGAATGCTGGTATTTCTTCTCTACCACGGAGTTAGACCAACAGACAGCTGATGAACAAATCACCCAATCAGTCTAATTGTTTTCATGTTTATAGGAAACAACTAATGTTTTTTCTTCATCTGTGATATGACTTTGTAGATGCTGATTTTATATTTCAATATATTTCAGGTGATAAAACATGTGGAACGATGTCAGTGCAAATTTGTGTGGTGCTGTTCTGTGAAATGTAAGAACTGTGAAACTCTAATTGATCGACACACCTGCAAGTAATTGTTAACTTCCTTTCTTGTAATTCTCTCTTTTCTTGTCACATTCACTGTTTCTTTTGTAATTGTGCCAAACAATATACATATTTTTAATGGATTCAGAGGTAGGTGCAGTTGCATTGTGTCAGTGCTAACAGAAGTAACAAATAAAAATTTGAACACTTCCATAATTTAGGCCTAAGGCTTGCCAATTTTTATGTATAAGTAGCAGCGTGACCAACTTACAGCTTCCTGAGAACACTGAACTGCTCAGGTGCTAGAGTTCTGACCCTTCTTCCATCTAATCATGCCACAGCAATTTGGATTGCCAGCAGAATCGATATTGATATATTAGCCTTTGGAAATTATTAAAAATAACACATTCAGATTACAGCAACTTCTGCAGATGTTCTCTCTTGATTTTGTTATCAGGAATGATCAAGTCTAGCACTGATTTTCGTCATTACTCTTGTTAAATAATGAAATGTGAAGCGCCCACTGAAGGGAAAGTGAACAGATTTGTGCCAGGCTTGAACATTTTACTTGGAACCCCCTCAAATGCCTTGCATAGGAGACTGAAGTTTTCAAACTTTTTAATTTATTGTGTTTCAAAATGTCACCTTAATGTGTGACTGTAAATTTCATGTAAGTACCAGGAAAGCAGCCTGTTGATAGAGACTATTTCTATCATCCGCTCTGATCACACAAGTATTTGTTTGGTTGTTTGTTCATTCATTTGTTTTATTATCATTCATCCATGCATTCGGGTACATAAGCATTGGATATAGAAATTTTCAGTAGATTACATTGATATATTACATAAGATAAATAACAATTAAAATATATATATGAAAGTAATGAATGCAAACTAAAATACAATGCTATAATTACTGGGGTATAGATTTCTTAATTAAAATTCATCACAACACAACAACAGGACAGTTGATGTTTAACAATATTTTGCTACATATTTCTGCTTTTTTAGAAAGCCATCAGGCAAATACACAATTAACGTGTTCTTAAGCTACTGAATTGCATACCATATAATTCAGTATAGTGCTGGATTTTTGACAGTATACCATAATATAATAATATATAACATAAAATAAAATAAAAGATAAAGATTGTAAATGAGATAAGTTAATTAAAATATAATTAAGAACTATGCATATAATATGTCCTATTAAGGTAGGTTGTTGCAATCGTAATGTTATGTCATAGTGTTTTTGCAGACATATGGCAACAGTTTTCTTGCTAATGTACACGTATGAAGTGGTTAAAATTCTTGGAGGCTCGCTGGCATGCATGTAGTATTATCTACTTTTGATATCCAGAAGTAATATAACGAGAATAACGATTATGAATATTTTGTAGTTATATTTAGTGTGATTAAATATTGATAGTGATGTTGATACTATAGTTGTACTGTCTACTTACTATTTGATGGGTACCTCTATCTACTTGTATTATGTCCGGTCAGGTAGGAAGGCGGATTGCAACTGATTTGGCGGTATGTGTCGTTATGGAGTTCTGTTTAAGAGGGGGGGGGAGAGAGGTAGAGACAGGGTGTGTATGGATGGCAGGTAAGGTTATTGTTTATGTTTGGTAAGCTGTGATATGTAAAATTATAATGTAATTGCTTCTTTTTTTACTGATGTCATACATATGAAATCTTTTGTAGGTATCCAAAGCTTGACCTTTCTTACCAATATGTAAAATTTCCATTGTTTGGTCTATTGTATGGTATTCATATGTACTGTCTACTGTATGTTGGGTGAATTTGGAATTTTGGCATTATTCTTTATATCCCTTATATATTCTTTAAATCTAATTTTAAATGTTCATCCAGTTTGTCCTATATATTTCAGTGGACAGTCTGTATGTGCAAACATCAACATCAACTGTTTTGTTGTTGTGTTGTGATGGATTTTAAGAAAGAAATCTATATATTTAACACAACAGGATGCTTCCATTGAAAATTACCCCAAGATCGAACATTTATTATTTATCAAGATACTCTTCAACAGAATAAAAAGAGTTTTCTATAAGAAACCTCAGTTTCTTAATATTTTAGACTGTAGATATTTTGAGTCTGCTAATAATCCAAAATCCTGGAGCCTGATTAGTTAGTGGGCATGTGTCACTCTTGCACTTGAGTGGTTCAATGATTGTAGGAACCTCTGAGATGATTGCACTGTGTATTAGCTCATAGAATATTTTCAAGAAAACTCTAAATATTTAATGAATTATATTAGAATTTTAACTGTGAAAGAAGATTTGATGAATGATTTGTCTGAGTGAGAATTTAATCAAAGTTGCATACTCTCATCACATTCATAGGAACTTTCTGCTCACACATCTGTACTACATTTCAGCAGCAGCAACATTAATCAGCTTAGATGTATGTTGTCAGTTTAGTTTGGAACCATGTCAATTTTTATAATGAGTCTATTGGACTTCCCTTATGGTCATAAAAGATTTTATTTGGGATTCTGATTGGTACATTTCTTTTGGCTTATTGTTGAAATCCGGTGTTGAGTAATATAAGAAAACAATAACCTCAATTCAGTCTGTTGGTGATGGGAATGGTTTTATCAGAAGTATTTTGCAGATCAAAAATAAATTCAGATACCTAGATGTAACCAGCGATTTTCAAGAAAAGTTATTTAGATAAGTGATATTTATCAAATTTTTAATGTTGATAAATAGTAGAAAATAATTGCAGTTCATTTTAATCGGGAAACACCTCTAAACTTTGCGCTTGTTAGGGTATTCACTCTATTACTGTTCACGGGATTACTATAATCTGAATGTGATGCCCTGTGGCATGACAGGTTCTGTTATCAACATTTCAGAGGAACCTGCTGCTTCTATCTTCAGGGTGCAGTTTAGCGAAACCGTACCATGATGATGGAGATGACAGGTTCCCCCAAAACACTGATCGCTTTCTAACAAACTAAATGGTGTTACATCCCAGGAGACAGCACAATCTTCATAGTCATCACCATGAGAAACTCTTATCTCACAGGGTACTTGGTGTTTTTGATGTTTATATTTTGTGGTCTTAGTCCTAATGCTACCAAACATTTAAACTCTCTTTAGTGTACACAGTACACTCCCGGTTATTTGGGTGCAGAATATATGTGCATGTTCTTTTATTTTTAATTTCAATTACTTATTGGGGTCACTAAATGTTTTTAAAGCCACATGAGCCATACACAAGTACTTGAGAACCAAACTTCTGTCTCTCTGCTGCACTCTCCATTACAGCCATTTCTGTGGTGCCATACATTCACCAAATTGTTATTACAAGACGCAGGAGAAGGGACCAAGCATTACGTTGGACTAATCTTTGTCTTTTCTTAGGTATTTTCTTTTTGTTTTCATATAAAAACTTTCCTTTAGATTCTCTTTTGTTTATTCTCAAACCATTCCCATACCATCTTATTCCTTTATAGTAAGTCTTCAATTAATGGTGCCTCCATTGTTGTTGTGAAGTAATAAGTATTCATCAGTTTTTATCTTTTGTAATATACTGATATTTTGCAAAAATTTCATGATTGTTAGCTCACCAGTTCCTGGTGTACTCTCATCTGCAAATACCTATTTATATTAAATTAGGGAGAAATTTTTATATTTTAGACATCTAAACACACGTCACAATGAGCATTAAAATCCAATGCTGGACTTAATCTGCTGTCAGATCAAGCCATTTCACACCTTCATAACCTGCATCTAGATCATATGATCCTTTTGTCTTCAACTTGATCATACAAATGTTCACATTCTCAAAATATGAATTAATACATCATTGAAACAATTGGTAATTGTCTCAACTTTTTACAAAATTTCTGAGAAAAATATTATCCATTTGTGATGAGCCTATCACAAGCAATGACAAGAAGCAGCGGAATGATTGGAAGATGAAATACAAGTACTCGGAGTGAAATTTGCCTGCCCCAGTGCTACTTCGTCCAACAGAAATTCCAAACACTTAACAATTTCAACCATGGCATGACCCAAGTGGGGATATTTTTTAATAAAGTACAGTGTTCTACAAAACTGGAAATTCTAGTATATTCTATATTAATGTTCTGTATGGTACTGGTTGTAATAATTGCTGTCAATTTTTTGTAAAGAAGAAAATGAAAAGGGTATGGAATATAACAGGTGTACCTGAAACTTGAATAAACTGCACATGGAAATGTTAAATTGGTTCACTTATTTAATGAATTGCTCTCTAAATGAAGCAGAAGGAGAAGGGAGGGGCAGTGTTTCAGCAGACACATTCTGATCTGTGATATGAATGGTGCTGATTTCCTGCCAGGTCACACTGTATTGCTAACCAGAACTGTTTTCAACCACAATATTTAGGACTCTGATGAAAGTGTAGGTATCTTACTGAAACAGTTATTGTGTTTCCGGACATTATCACTTTTTGGAGAGTGGATTCTGTCTCCATTTCATTTCATTTCATTTTTATTATCATTCAACAATCCATACATACAGGTATTACAACCATTTGGATAGGGAAATTGTCATATTCTCCTGCGTATCTTTACAGAATACACTGTACTACCCTAATATAGGGGGTTTGTCATCTGAATAATATCTAGATCCAGTTACCATTAACTGCATTGTCTTCACACAAATACAACAAATTAATCAGCTACATATTACATTTACACACTTGAAAAATCAAAAGACATAAATTCATCTACAGAATAAAAGGAATGTTTCAGCAAAAAAGATTTTAATTCTTTTTTAAATGAGTTAAAATTTTCCCTTTGTTTTATTTGATTGGGGACCTTATTATACAAACTAATTCCCATATTTATCACACTCCTCTTAAAAAGAGCTGTATTACAGTGCTATACATGAAAATTTAATTTTTTCGTGTGTTATAATTATGAATGTCTGAATTTATTGCCATAAAAGCCTGGTATTTTTTGATCAAGCATGTCACCTCCAATATATACAGAGAAGGCAATGTTAAAACATTGTAATCTTTAAAAATTTGTCTACATGATGTGCGACTACTAATACCACTAATCACTCAAAGAACCCGCTTTTGCAATTTAAATATGCTTTTACTTTTCCCATCCCCACCGCACAATAAGATACCATTTCTCATACATGACTCAAAATTCGAAAAATAAATAATTTTTATCATATATGGACTCATTATTTCTTTTAATATTTTCACCATATAAATTACTTTGCATAGCTTTGCTTTTAGAAATTGAGCATGAGCGCACCATTTTAGGGTTTCTGTCATGTGAAATCCAAGAAATCTCAATTCTGACTGATATACAATTTCTGTATTATTAAAAACTATTTGTGGTCTTAACGGATCTCTCCGCTGTTTTGAATGAAATGACATTGCAAAAGCCTACTGAGTTGAGCCCAGTTGATAGAGCTAATCCCTAATCCATCTGCAGGAGTTAAGACAAACATTGAAAACATTAAAAAGAATCCACACACATGAGGCCTAGCACCTATGTCCCTGCACTCTTTCATGGTTATTGTTGTTAAAATCAGATTACTATCAGAACAGAATTGACTGGCAGGTTTAAACCGGAATATTCCAATTAATATGAGAGAATGTTAGGTGAACTGACTGTTGGGCCACTGTGTTCATTAGAGGTAACGTAGCCTTGTTTTAGCCAGATCAGTGATATGGGACTTGAGGTTTTTACAGTGGTGACTATAAAATTACTGTCTTCTGTGATGTAGCAGCATATAGTTCAATAACCTGTTTGTTAATATTTTGGACAAACTCCCCCACAGACATGAAGCCTGCCTGTTCCGCTGAGATATTGGTTCCTATTTACAAGACTATATGATATATCCTGAAGGACATTAATCTTCAATCAATGTTAGGTTTTCTTCTTTTAAAATACATTACAAAGGGATATAGAATAAAGAATACTGTACTTTTTATGTAAGCTGGTCAAGTGTATAATAATGGACTGAGTGGTAAGATGTTCTGGATCTTGAATGTGTGTATGAGTAAATGATGTGGCTTCACTAAGTACTGCTTAATGTTGTGATCTGATATATTAACCTGCCAACAGCCCAACCAGGCATTGCAGACTGAAGGCCTGTTATTTACTGCAATGAACCACAGACAGTACAAATGAGCAGTGTAAGATTTTCAGTGCTCTCTATTCAAAACTTCATAAACTTTAAGATAGATATTACTATTTAGTCTGTGTTTATATATAACAGTACTATTATGATTATGCCTGTTTCTGACCCTCACATGTACCATGACCTGTATATTTCTGTTGGACAAAGTTAAGTTGAAATAACAAATTTTCACCCTTTTGCCATTTTCAACTCACACACTTAAATTCCGGAATATCATAATATCCTGTATTTTTGTTCACAATTAAAAACACACAAGCAATTAAATTGTGCTTCAAGTAAACAAAGTTACCAGTATGGATGGTGTATTCTGTACCACAGTATATCAGAAGTGTTTCTTATGTGTAAAATATTAAAAAAAAAAACAATGAAAAATATTTTGTAGCTACAAAATAATTATATGTAAAATCTTCAGAATTAAATACACAACATATTTGTTTGGGGCCACATGAAGTTACTATATCAGAAATTAATACTGCCAGGTTTATGACTTAGTGATAGACACAAAGGTGAGACAATAGCAGGTCCAGATTAAGACTTTGTGGGGCTCTAAAATATGTTGTGGATGGGGACTCTGTAAGTAAAAATAAACTGTAAAATGAATGAATAACAAAATTAAACACTTTTATTTTAGTTATTATATGAACAAACTTTTTAATGGCAGAAGTTAATGTAATAAGAAAAGTAACAAAATACTGTTTCAATGAAATACTTTGTTTTGATAAATGGAACTGTACTTAAATTGCCAAGAAATGATAACATATATATGGATATGTGTGGGTAACACTGAAATGCATATTTGTGTATGCAGAAGTGCACAAGAACGTTAAAGCCATCGGTGCTTTGCAAAAACCACACACACATGCAGCAGAACTGAAAGCAAGGAGCAATGCCACCTCCAAATTTGTTTTCAGTTGTTGCAGGTGTTCCTGTGTGCGTGTATGTGTGTCTTCCACCATTCCAATTAGGTAAGATGGGATCAGCCACTTACATCTTCCAAGTTTTACATGAGAATGTTGTGCTTGTCTCATAGGTGGTATTTTTTCTTCATTATTTTGGAGCCTCTCAGATTGTGAGGCCCCAAGCTCTTGCTTATTTAGCTTATGCATAAATCTGGTCCTGGATGATGATAATGATGGTGGTGGTGCATAACTAATTTGACTAGTACTTGAGACACTCAATACAATATCAAGAATTTCCCATGAACCTGAGACTACAGTACACCTTCCTTTTAGCTTCTGTATTTTCTAAAGGAAAATTGGCTTGTCACTTGGTCATTCCACGTGTTTGTCCCACTGCAATAACTTTCAAACTAACTGAAGGATTTATATGAAACTGGGTAGCAGCACAGTGTTACTTAAGCACACGGGATCTTTATATTCACTAATTTCCCTTGTGAACCTAGGAGGTTGGAAATTACTCTAGTGAGACTGGTGTACTTGTAGGATCATAAAGTTTTGTTTCTAGAATATTCTGTACATATTTCATAGCCCATGAACATTTCATTCTACATTTTCTGTCCACTCACATTTTGCCCACTTTCTCAAGGCCACAAATATAGGTCTATTTTATTTTATGCCCAATTATCGTTTCTAGATAGAGTCCACTCAGCCTCTAACAGAAATGAGTACCAGGAATCTTGCTGGGTGTAAAGGGCAGCTGGCTCATAAAGTTGACAACCTCACCACCATCTATGAGCCAACTGTCTGGAAAATATGGGAGCCTTGATGTCTCACAACCCTACGGGCCTATTACAGGGGCAGCTTTGCCTTTCTATTTTTTACCTTTACAAATTTTCTGTTCATTGTTCCTGCTTGACACAGATTTAATTTGTATTTTTGAGATGACAAAGTGATAACACCTTACAGTACCAACAGGAAAAACTTATTGAATGCTGCAAATAAAATGATCAGAGAGAGAGAAAGAAGTTCTGATAATTCAGATAATTCAGCATGCAGATTGTCACACAAAAGTGAGGCATCCCACAAAGAAGTGTTATGTAATTAACCAAAGGCAAATTGAAAGATTCTTTATAATTTCAGTAAACTCCCTCAATACCTGGCCTCTGTGGGAAACGGATTGTGTCAGTTATATGACTTTAGCCCGAAATTAACAGCCGTGGGGATTTGTTGGACTGACCGCACAACACCCTCTATCAGCAAAAGTTGGCACTAAACTCTGCCATCAAGCAGCGGTTGCTCAGTAGGTATAGTTCGCTTGCGGACTAAAATCATGGAGTTTGCTTTGCTTGTATATGACTTTATCGGTTGTGTGTGATTAGATCTTACAGACATGCAGTAGAGTACAGTCTAGTAGACAAGCTTATTTGGTATTAAACATACAGTAAAAGAAAGATGAAGTGCACTGCAAATTGGTGGGTGAAATATTTTAGATATAGCGTAGCATGAGCAAAAACTCAACTGGCCTCACCGTAAGGATGCGAGGGAGAATGACAGGCAGCGCAGCTACTGATGGCTGTGAGAACAGTAATACAGACATGAGCCTAAGGGCAGTCAACTACAAAATTAAACTTCATGCATGGTGAATGAAGAGAAAGACAATGAATGAACCAATCATATTCTATTGCACCAAAAAGTGTTTTAACATTAACTCATTGGCCAATGTACCTTTATGCATTTGGTAATGATAAGTAAGTTAAATATGTATCTCTGTTGCCAAATGAGAGGTTGCATTCTAATTGAAATGTTAGGTTCCTACACTCTTGCTAAGGGAAGGGGGGTCAGTTGAAGTTGAAGCTGATGTGACTCATAGTGGACGTAAAACGTATTGATTAAAAGTACTATTGAACAGACCACCAGAACAAAAACATGTAGTCAAAACATTGTTCACACAAGTAAACAACTTGAAGTGGATTAGATGACCATTTGACTGGAGAAAATGAAAAATGGATGAAATTTCCACAGATGTAACTTCTGGGAACTGACATTTTGTGTAGTAGTAGAAGACTTTTGAAATATGTGTGCAGTTTCTTAATGTTAATTTATTTTTGTGTTTTCAGTTTTCTGGTGAAAAATGTGTAATATAATTTTTGAAGCAGCAGAAGAATGAATTTTCTGAGATGAACCATGGTGATTTAGACTGCTTGTTATGGGACTGAATTCATATTCTTGTTGTCTTTTGAAACTAGATTGCTGGAGATGCTAATAGTGAAAAGAATTCAAATCTTTACTAATACAGCTAAACTGATCTACTAAGTGTCATGTCTGTTTCATTTACATTTAATTATTTTGATCATATATTAATAGGAAGGCCACAGTGCATCCTAATAGAAACATTTCTGTCATGCCCATGACTAATGATATAAATGAATCCAGTTTTGTCCATTCAATAAGGGAGTAACTATAAATTTTCTCTGCAAATCTGAATGTTACAGTGTAGTTTTTTATTCTGCAATGAGGTAATGTTTGAGAAACAACAATAAGAAATATTTATAAATGGTAACATGTAACTAAGCTGTGCCAGTAATAAGTGCTAAAGATCTTATAAAGTGAATTAAC